CCACCTTTTCCACCAGCCCCCCTCCCCTGTAATTAATGACCGATCCTTAAATTAGCATACACGTTTATTTTCAAAATGGCGGACAACTGTTGAACTTTTTATTACATTTTCTCAACAACTAAACGCGACAAACCGGCAAAAATATGAAATTAAATATTCCGTAAGTATACCTAATAGATATAAGTAATAAAAATTTTGGTTGCCAATGTCCTTTAAAACTCCTTTATTCAATTACTACTTAAGCCTTTTAGAACAAATATACAACCCGGACAATCCCAGAACATTTAAGTCAATGTGCGTCAAATGCCACTTAACTCGGTCTCTTGATAGCTTATTAGTGAGGACATGTTGTCGACATTTTAGCATAATTTGTTTCAATGTTATATATTGTAACTTATTGTAAGGGACCCCATAATTGGGGATTATTTCTGTGGCTAGTCCCTGCCCGAATTGTATGCAAATTTTGTAAAGTGTTAATCTTATTTATGTCTGTTATGTTTGCCGAATCTTGTAAAAAAAATAAATAAAATAAAATAAAATAAAATAAAGTAAAATAAAATAAAATAAAATGAAATGAAATGAAATGAAATGAAATGAAATGATATGATATGAAATGAAGTGAAGTGAAATGAAATGAAATGAAATGAAACGAAACGAAACAATTTATATATGCCGGAAAATTTCAATACCGCGTAAGGAGCCCAAACTCATAAGTACACAGCAATTCAAAAATATATTATAACAAAGATGCATTTTGTTATGACCTACATTTCAAACGCAATCAAGCCAATCCCCTGATCCTAATTTACTATGGCAGGAATGGAAAACAAAATTCCTACTAATTTCTGATATGCATGCGCTTCAAATGACTCACAAAGTAAGAAGTGAGTATGCGCCCTGGATTACAGAAAATATTAAGAGACGTATCTAATACAGGCATTTTCTTCGGTCAAAACTGGATCTTCCAAATTACATGATGCTCACAAAAGAGCTCGAAATTATTTAAATAGATTGATTGGAAAGACTAAAACCGGATATTTTACGAGCATAATATTAATAATACTGCTAAAAATCCAAAAGAAATGTGGAAGACAATTAAAGTAGCTCGATATAGTTATCACAAAAACCCTGCTCGAGAATCGCAAACTCAGAACCGGGTGACCATTTTTACGTGCAGGTCGCGGAAACTGATTAACAAAATGAAAGAACTTCCAAAATAATCTGACGTGAGCAGTTGCTCGCGCCCTATCATGACATTGCGCGTGTTCTATAGCGTTTTATGTCAATTGCTGACGTCATTAAAATTTTCCATTTTAGAAAAACAATGCGCTATATCTCTTTATTTTGTCTGGTGACCTATGTTCAAATTTTGCATGCAGTATTGCGCCGCTAAAAACTTTCATTATACAAAAAATAAAAAAATTCTGTAATGCCAAAAAAATATTACCGAAGAATATGACATTTTCGCATTTTCCAAAAAAATAGCATTACAGAATTTTTTTATATTTTGCTAATTGTTAACTTTTCGTCCAGGTAAAATAATGCACGAAAAAAATTGGTGGTCACCATGCTTTTTTTCCAACTATACGAGACGATAGACCATTTTGGAGTGAATTTCGTACACGTATGTCGTCATAGCGTTCACGAACAGTTGACGATACATTCTTTTAAAACTAATTAAGCTCAACAATCACCTACGTTGATAAAATATCCAATTGTAAAGACTCCTAGTCAATTACACTATTTTGTAAATACTTATACTATTTTGTAAATATTTATTTTGTACTTTCTTTTATGTAAACAACCCCTTTAAAAGCAGCGTAGGCTGAAGGGTTATTGTTTGTAAATAAGTTTTAATAATAATAATAATAATAATAGCAACGAACTATCTGTTACTAAAACTAATATAATTTGAAAGTGGAGTTATCAAAATATATAAAAAACCCAATATCTGCTGAATAAATCCTAAAAATGCGTAGTTTGAACATGTCAAAGTGTTAAACACCTGAATGTTTGAAAACTGTATCGAACCACCTTAATAGAATTACAAACAAAAAGTCCAAGACAACAAATATAACTAAGATCGTTGTTGATGATAAAGTTATTGGGGAGCCAAAAGTTATTGTAAATACGTTTATTAACAACTTTTTCAATGAAATTGGAGCAACTCTGGCTCAAAAACTACCAGAAAGTTCAGGGACACCCGAGTCATATATTAAACCTGGAAATGACTTAAGGTCGCAATCATATCACCAATCTTTATTATTATTATTATTATTATTATTATTATTATTATTATTATTATTATTATTATTAAATTGAAACCACATTGCAGCCAGAAGCTGAATTGCGTGGATTACATATTATCACATGCACTACATATAAATATATTATTAATACAATATTATAAAACCCACCCACGATCAAAACTCGATTAAAATAAGCATAAAAACTATCCTACAAACTTCCTACACATAGCAGGGATGAAAGAGTTATAAAAACGGTTCGTGCGTGTAACGTACATATTAAAATACCGATTCGTCCTGAAAGAATAATCAGTCTCGTTCTTCGGGGGCAGCAGATGATGAAGTTTATGCATTGGGTCCTTGATGATACTCGTAAAGAGTTTGTCACACATGTCCTCTCTTCTTTGAAATAGAGTAGGCAGTCTAAAATACTCAAGGGCCTCACAATATGACATTTCAGGAGATAAAATTTTTAGCACACGTTTCTGGACAGTCTCAAGTTCGTCTGCCAAATACTTTGGGATGGAATGATGGAAGGCTTGCGCACAATACTCGAGCACAGGCCTGATCACTGTACAATAAAAGTTCAAGACATCATTGACATTTACGCTTGCCCCTTTCAATAATACTATAAAATAGAGGCGTTTATTAGCTTTCTTTATACTCTCTCTGATGTTATCTTTCCACTGAAGTGTGCCTGTCATAACAAGACCCAATATTTTTGCACTCTCAACTATAGGCAATGCTTCTCCACCCACCAGTACAGGATCAAAAGGTTGTTTAATTTTTTAAAATCGATTCTCAGTTCTTTACATTTCTCAGCGTTAAGAGATAGCCCATTTGCCTTCGACCAATTTTCCACAACATCAACTGGGACTTGAACACGGCTTTCTGTGTCCTTACTAACTACTTCAGCAACTGTTGTGTCGTCAACAAACTTCCACCTCGATATATCACAAATATCAAGATCGTTTATCATTAAACAAAATAGCCAGGGCCCTAATTTTGTACCTTGACGGATACCGGAAAGTACATCTCCCCACTCCGAGTAGCAGTCATTGGATAATTTCACTCTCTGCTTTCGATTCATCAAAAAGTCGATTGTCCAGGGAGCAACCGCACGTGGAATAGCTAAATTGGAAATTTTATCAGCCAGTAAAGCATGATCGATAAGGTCGAATGCTTTTCTATAATCGAACAGGATGACTCTGACAGCAGAGCCAGTGCCATCAGTAGCTTGCGACCATTAGTGGATCATAGATATAACAGCGAGAGTAGTTGAACTTCTTGGTATTACTCCATATTGACTTGGATCGATTATACTCATGATAGCTGGAGCAATGTATTTTTTAACAACACAGTCCTCACCGATTTTCGAAATAGCGGCAGTAAGTGAAATTGGCCGTAACTGCTTACAAATGTCGCTAACTGGCTTAGTTTTTATGAGGGGCACAATGTTGGCAAGCTTCCAAGATTTAGGTAGTTGTTGTTCGGCATAGCTGCTGTTTAGCACAGCGCATACTGGCTGTGCAAGGATTTCCGCATATTCCTTAAGAGCCCAATTGGGAATTTCGTCAGGACCTGACGCCTTTCCACGATTAATTGCTTTCAATAAATGAAAGACTTCCAATTCGTTCACTTGAAAAGAGGAATAATTATCAAAGGGGGGAAGAGTTGACAGTGGATTGAAGGAGTTCATGGGCTCCAAAAGGGCGTTATTAATTAAATTCGCAATGTCAGGACGTTGCATATTCTCGATATCGTCTAAATGAAGTTGACTGCATAGGTCATCGGAGCCGGTTGTAGGTACCATACCAGCAATCTGTTTCACCTCCTTCCACCATCTCTTCGGTTTGGTCAATTTAAGATTCTTTACTTTTGAAGAGTAGAATTTCGCCCGGCATGTCTTTCGCTCGCGGTTAACCCGATTCCGGTAATACTTGAACTGAAAGGTATTTCTACTGCAGAAGGCAGCCTGACGCTTCCTTATAAGCTCTTTAAATTCTGCAGTAATCCATGGAGGATCGTGTACATGCAAAGCCGTTTTCTTTATTAGCATAATGGTGCTAATACCGAGACGTACTAACTCTTCGAAATACTGGAGTTTCATTTCGCATGTGTCAAAATGATTCAGAGAGGACCAATCGATAGATGTAAGGTATCTTCCAAGCTCATGCCTTTTACTAGATCGTAAATCTCTACTAGAGATAATTCTTCTACTGCATGACTTGGGTTCTCTTTTGCAAGGATTGACAATCACAACATTATGATCTGAAAAACCAAATGGTGGAAATTTTTCGACAGAGTTCTTATCATAAAACGAATGTAAGTTGGTTATTATTAGATCCAAAGTCTGGTTGGCCCTTGTGGAAACATTAACAATCTGTTTGCAACTGAACTGTGTTAATAACAGATTGCATTTTAACCGATTAAAGTCGCCTGCAAGAATAAACCCACAGCCAGGATAGGTGCTTTCAATAGTAATCAGTGATGTGGAGAGAAATTGGAGCATTTCATCATCATTAGCATTAGGTGGATGGTAAACGACACCAAGTATCAAGCAGGAAAACCCGCGAGGAAGTCTGCTTGGACGAAAATAGACCCACAGAAC